TTCAGAGTTAGGGAGAGGAGGTGGAGGCATCTCCAAAGTGTCACACATCACTAAACAATAATGATCATCCCATTTAACAAGCATCTCATTATTGACCAACATTTCCAAATCAATTCTCGAAGTGCCTAAAATTGGCTTGTCATCATTTAGCGGAATGTTGAAATGACGTGCAATTGGAGTGATTAACCCCCCAATAGCTATTTGACCTGACAAAGCTTTCCCTACCTTAGTAAACTGTCGTGCCAGCCAAGAACCTGAATCTAAATCAACAGCATGAACCATACCTTACAGAAGTAACAACTCAGATTTTCGAACAGCAGCATTACTATCACCACGAGCAAATATAGTATGGGCCATGAGACGATGAACATACCGGAAACATGGATTATGGATGTGGGACTCCTTAGATTCAGAGGAAACAAAATCACTAGAGCCAGATAATTTGCACCAAAATGATGAAGCTATAAATTCACGGGGATACTTCCTCTCACCCCCACATGGTAACCCAAATATGGAATTAAATTCAGCTAAAGTGAGGGCTAGATCTCTATTATGCAATCTGAATGTGATTAGCCCAGCTGTACAATTTTTACCCTGTATAATCTCTTGTAGGCAATATGATCCTCTTAGACAAAGAAGTATACCGCATCCTTTGCTCCTCATTTTTAAATACAATACCATGGGGATTTTCTTCAGGGGGCGGATGACGAGGACGTTTTCCTTTGCTCTTTTTTGCCATTGTTTTGTGAGACATTGTCAACTTATAAAGCAAAAAGTTCTAAAGCAGCCAATGGTGATGTTAAAATCTCAGCCCTTGTACGACTCAATAACAGGAAGAATAACAAAATAAAACCCAAAAACTGAAATGCCCCACACTTAAATAAGTTGAATGCAACAAACCCACAACACCAAATAATGAATGACTAAAAATACCATGGAATAGGATTGTTTGTGGGAAGATGAAGGCACTTACTTAGTGTAGCTGGGACAACTATGGCGACGTTGGGCGGCACTATTTGGTGATGTGAGGGCTGTGTGTGACGGTAGTGGGGAGTGTGAAATGGAGAAGAAGAAAAAAAGAATTATACTAGGGTTTTTTTTTTATTTAGAAATACCTTAGAAAACCACAAGTGTGAAAAATTCCATGCCTCACCTGTGGAACATTCTGTCAAAAATTCATTTCAAAATTTTGTGTGTTTTTTTTTTTGTGTTTTTTTTATTTTATTATTTTTTTCAATTTAATTTTTTTCATTTTTTTTTATTTTTCACCTTCAAATAATGATGCTAAATTAACAGTGGTCGTTTTTCTTTCAAAATCACCCCTAGGTACAACTTCAATCTCTGACCATTAACTTTAAAGTGTCTTTCTGATTTAAGGTCTGAAATTTCAATTGTACCAAAGGGAAATACCTGTTGAACAACAAAAGGACCTGACCAGCGAGACCTTAACTTACCTGGAAATAATTTGAGCCTAGAATTGTATAACAACACTTGTTGGCCAGGTGCAAACTCTTTAACCACAATTCTCCTATCATGCCATTTTTTGGTTCTCTCTTTATAGATCCTAGCATTTTCATATGCTTGCAATCTAAACTCATCCAGCTCATCCAATTGTAACAATCTTCTTTCACCTGCATTCTTTAAGTCAAAATTTAGAAATTTAGTAGCCCAGAATGCTTTATGCTCTAATTCTACAGGTAAGTGGCATGATTTTCCATACACCAACTGATATGGTGACATTCCAATAGGAGTTTTAAAAGCAGTACGGTAAGCCCACAACACATCATCTAGTTTCCTAGACCAATCCTTTCTAGTAGAACTTACCACTTTCTCTAAAATTCTCTTTAACTCCCTATTGGAAATTTCTACTTGACCACTTGTTTGTGGATGGTAAGGGGTAGCTATCTTGTGCTTCACACCATATTTACCTAAGAGTAACTCCAATTGCTTATTGCAAAAGTGTGAACCTCCATCACTAATGATTGCTCTAGGCACACCAAATCTAGTAAAAATGTGTTTCTTAATAAAAGAAACCACAATCTTAGCATCATTTGTTGGTAATGCATTAGCCTCTACCCACTTAGACACATAGTCTACAGCAACTAAAATGTACTGGTTTGAAAAAGAAGAAGGAAATGGCCCCATAAAATCTATACCCCAAACATCAAAAATTTCTACTTCAAGTATATTATTTAAGGGCATCTCATTCCTCTTTGAAATATTCCCCACTCTTTGACATCTATCACACTTCTCAACAAAACTACGAGCATCCTTAAAGAGGGTAGGCCAATACAATCCACTTTGTAATACCTTAGAGGCTGTCCTTTCCCCACTAAAGTGCCCTCCATAATCTGATCCATGACAGTGCCAAAGAATACTCTCAAACTCATTCTCAGGAACACATTTCCTAATTATACCATCAGCACACCTTTTAAATAACAAAGGATCATCCCAATAATAAAATTTAGCATCGTGCAAAATTTTTTTCCTTTGCTTAAAATTAAAGTCATGAGGAATTATACCAGCTGCCTTGAAATTAGCAAAATCAGCAAACCATGGTAAAGAAGTAATGGCCAACAATTTCTCGTCGGGAAACTCTTCTGAGATATCCTTGATAGCCTTATCAATCTTCAATCTTGAAAGATGGTCAGCCACCAAATTTTGCTTCCCTTGTCTGTCTCGGATTTCCAAATCAAACTCCTGTAATAGGAGAATCCATCGAATCAATCGTGGCTTGGCATCCTGTTTAACAAACAAATATCTCAAAGCAGCATGATCAGTATAAACAATGACCTTAGAGCCAACAAGATAAGGTCTGAATTTATCACAGGAAAACACCACAGCAAGTAACTCTTTTTCAGTCATGGCATAGTTCTTTTGGGCATCATTCAACACACGACTAGCATAATATATAACATGAAAAACTTTTTCTTTCCTTTGTCCCAATACAGCACCTACAGCATAATCGCTAGCATCACACATAATTTCAAATGGTAAAGACCAATCAGGTGCCATAATAATAGGAGTAGAAATAAGTTTTTTCTTAATGGTGTTAAATGCTTGCAAACATGCATCATCAAACTCAAAAGGAGCTTCTTTTTCAAGCAGATTAGTCATAGGCTTAGCTATTTTAGAAAAATCTTTGATAAATCACCTATAAAAACCCACGTGTCCTAGAAAACTTCTAACCCCTTTAACATTCACAAGAGGAGGTAATTATTCAATTACCTCTATCTTGGCTCTATCTACCTCAATACCTTTAGCAGAAATTCGATGACCTAGGACAATACCTTCTCTTACCATGAAGTGGCACTTCTCCCAGTTAAGCACCAAATTAGTTTCCTGGCATCTTTTTAACACTAAAGTCAGGTTAGTGAGGTAAGAATAAAATGAAGAACCAAATACAGAAAAATCATCCATGAAGATCTCAATGCAATTTTCAATTAAATCAGAAAAAATAGAAAACATACACCTCTGAAATGTAGCAGGTGCATTGCAGAGACCAAATGGCATTCTCCGGTATGCAAAGACTCCATAAGGACATGTAAAGGCTGTTTTCTCTTTATCTTCAGGAGCCACTACAATCTGGTTGTAACCAGAATAGCCATCCAAAAAATAGTAATACTCATGCCCAGCCAATCTCTCTAGCATTTGATCAACAAAAGGTAGTGCAAAATGGTCCTTCCTTGTGGCTTGATTAAGTCTTCAGTAGTCAATACACATACGCCAACATGTAACTTTTCTAGTTGGGATGAGTTCATTATTCTCATTCATCACTACCGTCATACCACCTTTCTTGGGTACAACTTGCACAGGACTAACCCACTCACTATCAGAAATTGGGTAAATTATACCTGCATCCAAAAGCTTAATAACCTCTTTTCTCACTACCTCCTTCATAGTTGGGTTGAGCCTCCTTTGCGGTTGACGCACCGGTTTAAAATCCTTCTCCATAAAAATTTTATGCATACAAACAGTAGGACTAATACCTTTCAAATCATTAATAACCCAACCCAATGCAGATTTGTGCTCTCTTAATACCCTCATAAGTTTCTCTTCCTCAACACTTGTCAACTCATTGTTTACAATTACAGGGTTAAGCTTCTGCTCATCTAAGAACCTATATTTCAGGTGGGAAAGGAGTGGTTTTAATTCTATCTTTGATGTCTCTTCCATTCTTCCCTCATCTCTGTTTAATTCTTCAACCCCTCTTTTGGAAGTAAATACTGGCTTAAGAGCTTCTAATTGGTAAACACAGTCCACCACCTCTTCGTCATTCACTTTCTCACTCAGCTCCTTTGCTCCCATTTCTGTTAGCAAGGCTCCCTCTAATGGACTCTTCCTCATATATTTTCCCATCTCCTCTAACATAAGAGAATCATCCATTTCTACCCGGAAACAATCCTCCTTGTCCATCAAGTGCTGCAAAGCTTCATTTATAGAAAAGGTAACTTTTTCATCCGCCACTCTCAACATCAACTTACCTTGCTGTACATCAATCAATGCTCTCCCTGTGGCTAAAAATGGTCTTCCCAATATAATTGGGACTTTAGAATCTTCCTCCATATCAAGCACCACAAAGTCAGCTGGGAAGATGAATTTATCCACCTTTACTAAGATATCCTCCATTACTCCATAAGGATAAGTCACTGAACGGTCTGCCAGTTGAAGAGTTATCATAGTAGGCTTCACTTCTCCAATACCCAACCTCTTAAAAATAGACAAGGGCATCAAATTGATGCTTGCTCCAAGGTCACACAATGCCTTACCAACCATTAAATTTCCAATCTCACATGGGATTACGAAACTTCCTGGATCCTTCAACTTGGGAGGTAATTTTTTTTTGAATTATTGCACTGCAATCTTCTGTGAGCATTATGGTTTCATCTTCTTGAAGCTTCCTCTTTCTGGACAGCAAATCCTTCATGAATTTGGCATAGCTTGGCATCTGTTCCAATGCTTCAGCAAAAGGAATATTGATATGGAGCTTTTTGAAGATGTCAAGAAACCTTGCAAATTGCTTCTCTTGCTCCTTTTTCTTCAACCTTTGAGGGAATGGAACAGTAGGAACAAAAACTTTTGTTTTATCATTCTCACCTGCCTGACTATTATCTCCCTCATTCTTTTTTTCACAATTTATCTCATCATTTTTTTCTTCTTTCATCACTTCTATATCACCACTTTCTTTCTTTTTCTCTCCTTCCACCTCACGGTTTTTCTCATCAATTAACACCTTTCCACTCCTCAATTGAATTGCTTTACATTGTTCCCTTGGGTTGGGAACGGTGTCACTGGGAAATTTACCAGGAGATCTCTCTGAAAGTTGTTTTGACATTTGACCAATCTGATTCTCCAAATTTCTGATTGAAGCTTCATGGTTCTTGAAATTTGTCCTAGTGACATTCATGAAGTTGGAAGTTTGCTCCACAAAGGTAGAGGTTTGCAAGGATAATTTCTCTAAAGCACTCTCCAAAGTAGACATCTTGCTCCCTTGATTGCTAGATTGTGCTTGATATTGATATGGAGGCCTTGGTTGGTTAGATTGTCCTAAACCACCCCAAGGTCTATTTGGTGGGTTTCTCCAACCTGAATTATAGTTATTGGAATATTGATTCTGTTGTTGCCCTACTACATTAACTTGTGCCTCTTGTTGAGTGGTTTGACATTCACCATTTTGATGCGTTCCTCCACAAAAGTCACACACCAAGGAAGATGTATTAACAGCTTTAGCCTGCATACTACCCAACTGCTGAGTCAAATTAGTAATTTGTTGTGTTAAAAGCTTGTTCTGTGCTAGAATAGCATCCAAAGTATTAACCTCCAGCACTCCACCTCTTCTATTTTGGCGATCAAATTGCATGTTCACTGTATTATTTGCCATCAATTTAAGAGTCTCCAAGGCTTTCTCTGGTGTTTTCAAATTAAATGACCCTCCACTTGCTGCATCCAATATCGCCTTAAAAGAGGGTGAAAGGCCATTATAGAAAATTTGCACTTGTAGCCAATCTGGTAAAGAATGATGAGGACACTTCTGAATTAGGTCTTTATACCTTTCCCATGCCTCATATAAGGACTCAGACTCTTGTTGCACAAAATTAGTAATCTCATTTCTCATTCTTGCTGACTTGGATGGAGGAAAATATTTGTTCACAAATTTAGTAGCCAAATCATCCCATGTAGAAATACTCCCTTGAGGTTGTGATTGAAGCCAACTCTTAGCTTTATCCCGTAATGAAAAAGGAAAAAGCCTCAAGCGGACTGCATCATCAGTAGCTCCATTGATCTTCAAGGTGTCGCAAATTGCAAGAAAATTCTCTAGGTGAGAATTTGGATCCTCTGATGCTGCACCTCCAAACTGATTTTGTTGGATGACTTGTAAAAGTGCAGGCTTAATTTCAAAGTTATTGGCTTGAATAGGAGGCCTCACAATACTCCCTCTGTAAGAATTAAGATCTGGCATAGAATAATCCCTCAGGGTCCTTCTCACATTACCAGCTTCTTCTGCCATTGGTGATTCTTGCTTGTGAACACTAAAATTTTGATTTAATTTTTTTTTTAAATAAAAATAAAAATGAAAAAATAAAAAATAAAAAAATCTGAATTTTAATATTACAAAAGAAGAATGGAATCAAAAGGTTTTAAAAAAAAAACAAACAAACAAAAATTTGTCTTAATAAAATAGGAAAATTTCAGAATTAATTTTTAAAAGGAAAATAGAATATGACAAATAATTAAATTCTTGAACCAATGTTACTTTATACATAAAAAAGAAAAAATTCAGAATTTTGGGCCTTTTGTGAAAACCCTAACAATAAAAGGAAAAGAGGACCATGGAGCAGGGGGAGACATCAAAGGAGGCTAAAATTTTTTTGAGAGGAGGCATTCTAAAGCGGGGAGAGAAAAAGAGAAAATTGAGAGAAAGAAAGGTTAGTGGAAAGGAGGAAGAACAAGAGGCAAGCAAAAATTTTCAAGAACATCAAGTAAGCTTCATCATACATTTTACACATTTTTCTTCTTCATACATATTTATATTTTGAATAAACATTTCCTATATCAAATCAATCTCAAATGATAAAAAAATATTTTAAACCACCATTTCAAATATTCATGTCTCACCACCTCTCCACCCATTCCTCCATCTATCATCATCCACAAACACAAAACTCACCATAAAAAAAACTCTTTCCCTACCTTGTCTCATTCCTCTTCCTTTTGCTCTCAATAACCTTCATCACTCAAAACCATGGCCTCCATTAACCTCACCTCCACCCTTTCATAACCTTTTTTTTATTTTTCTTGGAGAAAAGCACACCCCTAACCCTAAAGTCCTTCCCTCTCAAATCTGAAAATTTAAAATTTGAGATCATTTTATCCTTTTTTTATTTTTTTATTATTTTTTTGTCCAATTTTTTTATTTATTTTATTTTTATCATTATTTAGTTCAACATATAATTTATTGTTTTAGTTTTATTTATTTATTCATCATCATTATTATTTGTTATTATGATAATTATTAATTTATTTAATGAATGAGTTTTTATTATTTTTTTTATTTTTTTTTATGTTAACTTTGTTTAAATTATTTTATTTTATTTTATTTATTTAAAATCTCTTGATACCGTTTACTTTACAATATCATATCTGAGTTGATTTTTTTTAAATTATTTTCTTTTTTATATTTCATTATTTATATCTTCTTTTTTAGGATCGTTATCTTTTATTTTATTTATTGTATATTTGTATCATATTAATGCGATTTAATTTTATATTTATGATTATTTTATTTTATATTGTGAATACTAAATTACTTATTTTTTTATAATTAATTAATAAATAATAATATAATTGTATCAATTTATAATACTAACGTATAGCTTCTCTATCGTCATGTATTATAAATTGATAAAGTCTATGTGTACCTACGTTACCAAGACTTTATGCAATATTAACTTATCAAAATCTATGTGTACCAACGTTACCTTACGTTTTATATAATATAAATCTATCAAATAAAATTTTTAATATTTTTTATTAAATGAGTATCTTCTTTAATCAATTCAAATAAATTTTTTTTTTTTTTTTATTTTTTAAGTCATGTTTCAAATTTTGATAAATTAAATTACTATAATTTATTCATTTTATAAATTTTTATAATATCATGTGTAATTTACATTGCCTTCGATAGTCTAATAAATTATAAGAAGTTTATGTATAGCTTACGCTATCTTAAATTTCTTTCAGTATTAATCATAATCAAAATTAAAATTCAAATACTCCATTTACGAATAAAATATTTCTTAATGATTTGCAGTATAGTTGTGTGATCTTCCTTCACTTTCTGTATTGTTTTCTCGTAGGGTACATGTATAACTGCATTATCTTGTATCCTAAACATTATAATTTTTACGAAAAATGATTTTAATTCTAAAATAAATTTTTCTTTTACTAAACTTAATTATAATCAACTAATTTCATAATTTTTAGATAGAACTACGTGGCTTTGAGTTCCCCATTGCATCCGGGGATACGTAGGAGCGGGAACCGTACCCGTCAAGTCAAAATATTTTTTAAAATAACCCGAATAATATTTCAATAAATAATATTTCTTCTTCTAAAATAAAATAATTAATGTTTAGGGGTTAAATAAATATTTTTCAAAATTAGAATAATTTTGTACAATTAATTTTAGGTAACCGTTTTTTAAACGGACGTTGTAGGGTGCTAATACCTTCCCTACACGTAAATGACTCCCGAACTCATTTTTTGGTTTCAAAGATCGTATTATATTTAAGTTTTTCCAAGGTTTTTCTTAAAAATAAACTTTGGTGGCGACTCTTCTGATATTTTGGAACAAGTTTGTCATCCGTCGTACCGTTACGATCGCCCGGTTGCGACAGATGGCGACTCCACTGGGGATATCTTTTAGAGAGTCAAGCCTTTGATAATTGATCGTGCGAATTTGTCTTATTTTATTTCTATTTGTTTAATCCCTTTCTTTTTTATTTATTTGAGTCAATTGTAGTGTTTCTTTTATTCGTGCATGTATTTCGTGTATGAATTGCGTAATCTCATTGTATGCTCATATTGATATTGTTATTAATCCTAGGGTAGATGACTATTGATAATTTGTATATTCTTGTGTTGTTTAATTTTTGCAGCTTTTTATTTTTGTTGAGTTGATAAGGTTTGTATGCTCCCTCACACACTACCACTTACACATTTATCACACACTTTGAGCGGGGCCCTATACCCGGGTCTGAGTATGCTTAGGATTAGAGGGGTTATGTAGCGGTGTCATTTTGGATGCACGTCCTATTTGGCTATCGTGAAAACCCTAGCTAGAGTTTGACCTTTTCTTGATGTCCCACATCTAGTAGACTCCCTACTGTTGTGGTCAACATCAAGGATTGGATCTTAGCTCTAGTGACCTTTTAGGATTACAAGCCACCTTTTGTGAGTTTTTACACGTAAAAGAAAGTTGTAGATCTTTAAGTTAGACCCTTTAGGTGACCTGAAATAGGACACAAAAGGGGGTATTCTTTCCTTATTTATTCTTTTAGAAATTATGTGAATTATTAGTGCCTTAAAGTTTTTAAATAAAAAAGGAGAAGATTTTTTTGGAATAATATAAGGACTAGTAATTCACATGATTCTCTTAATTAATTTTTCTTACATCATCATCATTTCATTTATCATTGCATATCATTTATTTGAATATCATGCTTATTGCCATCCTTGTGACACTTGTAATAAATTTAAAATCAGTTTTGAAATAAGGTTAAGGATGACAATTTGCATAATTTCTTACATAATTGCATTGTCATGTGAAGCATTACCCTTATAAGTATCAATTCAGATTTATCAAGAGAAAAAACTAAAAAAAAAAAGGGTGGTGATTCATATTGTTCTCGCATTATCATAGTCATCACATATTTGTTTCATTAATAAAAATCCTAGTTTGATTCATTTAGGATTAATGTTGATTCTTATATGGACATTTATCTGTTTAGAATCAATATTAATCCTTATGACTACTAGGATCCTATGTTAATGAAACAAATACAAAATTTGAAATAATTTCTCATCATTTTCTTTTTATTCATAGGTTGAGGATCACAAAGTTTTTGAATATCTAAGAAAAATGAAAATTAATGTGGGATCAAGTAGCAATGAGATGATACACTTGAATTAAGAAAATTTTATATTTTGGTGATGATCCCACATTAATTCTTGTTTAAAAGAAAAACTTAAAGATGTTCAACAATTGTGATGATTCTTCAAGTTTTCAATTTTCTCTTTAAACATGTTCTTCATTGTGTTAACTTCTTTTTGATTGCATCATTTTTTTATTGCATCACTCACAAACTATTTCAAAAAATTAAACAAATATAACGGGGAAACATTTTCTAAAGCATCCTTATAGAACTCGCGCTCAAGCAAGGATCATGGATGAGTTAGAGGAGCACAATGAAGAACTGAGGAACGATGTTAATCAGTTGAAAGAACAAATGGTACAAATCCTAGAGGCACTGAAGTCTTTAGAGAGAAGAACCACAGAGGGGACCCCTATTCAAGCACCTCTAGCACAACCCACTCCTACCCATCCACCAGGTTTTACCCCTACACAAGGACCGTCCGAAATTTTTCCTCCTCATGAAACAATGGTGCCTTTGACCTTGCATGTAGAAAGGCCTCCACAACAAGCTTTTAATCAACAAGATGTCCAATTTCTCCCATATGGCCTTCCCCAAGGTTATACGCCACCAATATTTGAGAACCCACAAAACACTGGCCAGCCATTAAATCAACCCAATCCTGCACAACCTTCAGATCCACAAATCCAACCAACCCAAACATCCATCCCATCATATGCTTACCCTCAAAATACACATCCCCAAGAAGCTCATATACCCCACATTATACCTACCCCAAACCAACCGATCCACCACCAACCACAAATCACTAATCCTAGCCTTAATGGAAACCCAGCCATATCTCCATTCCATTCCCATAAGACCTTAGAAGAACCCCAGCCCAATTACTCAGAGAAGCACTTCCAATCCAGAGAAAAATTACAAATATTGGAAGAAAGATTGAGAGCTATCGAGGGGAGTAGCTATGGCATTGGGGAAGCTGCAGATCTTTGTTTAGTCCCAGATGTGATAGTTCCTCCAAAATTCAAAGTGCCTGATTTTGATAAGTACAAAGGAACAACATGCCCAAAGAGTCATCTGATCATGTACTGTAGAAAGATGGCATCACATGCTCATGATGATAAGCTGCTAATTCATATTTTTCAAGACAGTTTAATTGGAGGAGCTTTGAGTTGGTATATGCATCTTGAGCGTACTCGTATTCGTAGTTGGAAAGACTTGGCTGATGCTTTCCTAAAGCAATATAAGTACAACATTGATATGGCTCCTGATAGATTACAACTGCAGAATATGTTAAAGAAGGAGGATGAGACTTTTAAAGAATATGCCCAGAGATGGAGAGAAGTTGCAGCTC